TGCATATGTTATGCACCATAAGAATTTAAACAAAATAAAAGTTTAGCAGGTGGCATGAAAAAAATTTATTAAATTTAAAAAAGAAATTTAAAATGTAGCTCGATTATTTATTGCCTTTGTTTTATGTGAAAATTATCGAAACAACATCAATAAGAGATTAATAAAAAATCGCGATTTTAAAAGCCAGACTTACTCTAAGTGATTCTTCATCTTTGTTTGTCATTTTCCCATCCGTATAGAGAACCATAATTTTTCTAACGTTTTCTCTTTGAGGGGTTGCTGAACCAAAGAGCTCAATAGTCCTTTGCAATGCTAGATTAAGCCATGTTTCCCCATTTTGTGGCCTTGCACGTAAACTTTCTAATGCGTTATAAACTTGTTCCTCTGTATTTTCATTATCAACAGTTTTGTAGACATTGGCTACAGCACTAAAGTCAACAATGCCAATTCTTGTATGTTGTTCACTGACGTTAAATGTAGAAGCAAAGTATTGCGCGTGGTCTATAATATCGTTCCATTCCTTTTGCACACTTCCAGATGAATCGATTACAATAACAATGTCAAGAGGATTTGGGCATAACGGGGTTGTTACAAAACTTGAAGAACTTTCTAAATTAATTAAGCAAACACTCTACATAATGTCTTCTAAAAACATTTTAATGCAATATTATAACTGAAGAAATCGTATAATAGTAGAAATTTTTTTTTTCAGCAATTACAACATGCAAACTCTTGTTTTTGAACAAAATATTTTTTACTTCTTTAAGGTCTGAACACATTTTAAAAAAATTTCAGAACTTTTCTTACCAGTTATAGTGGCCAATGGAAAATTAAAAACTTGCAAAGTATAGATTGCAAATACAAAAAGTTTAACAAACATTTCCATACTTATTTTATTTGATATTAGCTCCTTTAAAACTGAATCAAAAAATAATATGCAACCATTATTCTCAATGCCATTATCACTGGGCTAGCGTGCTAAATTATGTACTCTGATGGTTTAAACAATAGATTTGTGCGCGAAATGCAATCAAATACATTAATAATGCACGCATGGTTGCGTATTAATTTATTTTATACCTAGAGCTGCGTTCAACCCGAACTGCAAAACCGGTAGAGTGAAAAAAATATGCCTAACTATTACAGGGTATCATTTACTTATTACATTCTTTTAATTATATAATTCCATAATAAAAAATCTGAAAGAAAAGTTTTTATGTAATTTTTTTTTTTTTTTTGCATTTAAAAAACTTATTATCTAATTCCTATATCAGCTGTTTAAATAAATTTGAATAGAATTTTTTTTTTCTACTCAATAAATATATTATTTAGTGACTCGTCATTTTTTGCCATTTTTCCAATGGTATAAATATTTTTTTGTGTGCATATTAAGGTGTTCCTTAGAAGTCCTTATGGTTTTATCACAGAGTACCACGGAAAAGCATTTAATTAGGAAGTTCACGCCTTTTCCCTTACCAATGTCCTATGTTGGTCTAAAGCCGACATTAAACCGCGGAGCTTTTGGTACTAAGCCAGAGTTCTAACTACTGCACCACGGCTGCATATTTTCTGTATTTAATGATAGCTGTAAAGCAAAGATTGATTAAATACAAATCATCTGGATACCTTAGCAAGCGCATTCATTTTGTTGCATATTTAGATGCTTGAATTCTTTAAAAAAGTGTTTTAAAACTTTTTTTTCTTTTTTACCTTTTAAAAAGTAAAAGTTTACGAATCAAACTAAATCATCATGAAAAAAACTTTAATTTTAAAAGTTTTAAAGGTAAGTAAGTTTATCTATATTTACTTGCTTTGCTTTATTAAAGGCAAGCAAAACCTAACGAAATTATTAAACCTGTGAATAATTTTTAAATAGCCTGTCATTAACAGAATTAAAATTTTTTGTAAGATTTTGTTTGCGATATACTTAACTTAAAATCCTTTGAAAATCTAAGATATGATCATAATGATAATGTGCAACTATTATATTGATGAGTGTCTAAGTTTTTTTCAACTGCTATTTAGATTAATGAAGCCTTTAAAAATGATTTAAACTGGTAAAAACCTGTTTAAACATTTTATTTTATAATAGTACGAACATTTTTGGTATTTGGTATGTTACGCACAAATTCTTAAATTACCCAGTTCATGTTTGCGCAAAATGTTAAATATGAAAGTAACTTTTATTTTAATACATATGTTATAAAATGTTTATGTTGAAATTATTTTTTTTTAATATATATATCAAAAAAAACCATAAACATAATTTTAGACAAAATACGCAAATTAAGTAAATTAAAATACATTATTCAAAATTACATCAGATAAAAATATGTTAAAATTATTTATTAAAATAATAAGTTAAATGATAATAATAAAATTTTTGCACTAAATTTTTAAACACAATTTGTAGTATAATGCTGTGGTTAGAGAGATGGGGACCCTCTTTTCAAAAACTGCCTCAAAATTACTACTATGAATAGATAATTTAAAAACCTGCTAAAAAAAAAAGCTAGAAATTTCTTCCTTAGGATAGGATATGTGATTTACCTTTATTATGGTATAATTTTCTACTTTTTAAAACAGAAAATTGAACTAAAGGTATTTAATTGTATGACAAATTATTGTTTTTAATATAATTTTCTATCTTAAAAGATAGATAATTAAACCCCACTAAGGGTATATCAAATATATTACCTTAAAGTAGAAATTTTTACCTTTTTTTAAGTATTTTAATAAAGCTTCCGGAAATTATAATAAATTAAACTAAAATTAAACGGACATTCTTTAATAAATTGTTCAATGATTTAAAGTTTTAAGGATTTCTTTTCAACCGTATTCAGAGAGAGAGAGAGTTTCCAGGAAAAGTAATTCTATAGAATTTTCTATAAACTTTTGAAACATATGGCTTATAGAAACTTTATAGAATTTCTATAGAATGTCTATTAGTTTCTATAGAAATTGCTATAAAACTTTTTTTTCTATAAAAAAAAAAAAGTAGAAAAAAAAATTTATAAGGAATTTTTATAGAAGTTAACAGAAACTCTAAAGAAATTCTATAGAATTCTATAGAATTTCTATAGGCCATATGTTTCAAAAGTTTATATAAAATTCTATACAAATTTTTTTCCAGGGTTAGCTTTAAGCTATTAAATACTTTAATGCAGAATGTGCAAAATTCTGCATTAAAGTATTTAATAGTATAAAGCTAGCTCTCTCTCTGAATACGGAAATTTTATAAAAAATTGCAAAAACCTGTTATTAGGGAGCCCTTAAAAAACCTTCCATTAGATATTTTAAAAAAAAACTTCTTATATTTGCAAAAGACCCCGCTAAATTTGCTGAAGCGTAAAAGAAACTTTCAGTAAAACTTGATAAAGTCTCTATAGTATATTAATTTCTTCATTATTTGGTAAGATAGATTTAACAGCTGGATCTAACAGTCATGATAATTTAGCTGTTTGTGACAGTTTTAGATGCTAAAACTGCTAAATTTTTAGATCACAAACAGCTAAATTATCATGACTGTGCTTTTAGTTTTTTTAAAAAGATTTTTTACATCATTATACAGTTGATCAATAGACTCTTAAATAGTGCACTGTTTTGGTGAATGTATATAGACTATATTATAAAAAGTGTTTCACGAATATATTTGTAGTTTTTAAATTTTGTGTTATTTAGATTAATATCTTGAGTTTTTTGTAAAATAAGTTATAATTTTCTTTACATTTATCTTCACTATCCGAAACAATAGAATTGTCATTTAGACTTGCTTGATTGGCTCAAACTGTTGATTTTTTTAATAAAAAATCGCAAAAGCTTGTTATTAGGGGCCGTTAAAAAACCTTCCATTAGATATTACAAAAAAAAACTTCTTATATTTGCAAAAGGGCCCGCTAAATTCGCTGAAGCGTAGAGTAGTCTAGACACAACACTGGTTTAGGAACATAAATGATTTGTTTTATATTTAATAAAACGGAATAGATTTCTCGCTTCACGATATGCGCAAAGCTATTTTGATCTTCTTTATTCAGTTGTTCTTTAGGTTTCAACTCATTTATTCAGTTGTTCTTTAGGTTTCAACTCATTTATTCAGTTGTTCTTTAGGTTTCAACTCATTTATTCAGTTGTTCTTTAGGTTTCAACTCATTTATTCAGTTGTTCTTTAGGTTTCAACTCTATATATTTTTAATTCTTCTTTAAGATTAAATGTTTATATTTTTTGATTATTTTGCTCGATTTTTGCTTTAACTTTAAAAATAGTAGTGTCAACTTTATTTAAAGTTGACACTACTATTTTTGTTAGTAACTTTTTTTTTGAATACAAGATTAACATGTTTATGCCATGTTTATCAAGATTTGCATTTTTGTGTGAAATATATGTATGGATGATAGACTTTGTATTGGCTTTACTAATACTAAAAATTTACTTATTGTTGCAGACAAAGCAACAATATCGCGTTAAATTTTTTACAAATTTTTAAACCTATTCAGAAACTTTTTTTAATAGATTTTTTATGCACCTGTCAAATTTCGTTAAAAAATATTGGTGGACTTGTACATGATGCACCCCCTGACAACCACAACTATAAACACAAACAATCATGACTAAATCCTATCCCAACCTTTATCTTCAATCAATGCTTGAACATTTTACTGTGCTAATTACTTTTGGCCAGTAAATGAATGTTTTTTTTTAATTTCGTTTATTGTTTATCGGTTCAACGGTTATTTGATGTAATTATACTATAATTAATTTTATTAATTAACTTTACGCTGTCAGTAAAAAAATTGGTTTTGATAAAACGTGTTTTAAATTGAAAAGAGGTGCGTCGTGCATAAGTCCGCCAAAATATTTTGTCGCAGATGTTAAGTGTAGCATTTTTGATACCTAATTTTATTTTTCCTTTGCGATCGCGAGGGACAGAGTAGGATAGCTGAATATTTGTTTTTCTTTATTAGTAATTATTTTCTTTATTAATAATATTATAATTGATTGAGACAAAATGCAGCTTTATGTATGAGTTTAACATTGATTTCAAATATTATCATCTAACTTACTTTAAATTAAAATTATTTGAATACAATCAGTGGCGTCTTTTTCTGTCGGTAGACAACTAATGTAATTATTGACTCTATGGCTAAACCTTGATTTCCGTTTTGATCGCAATTTGGAATTCCAAAAAACGATCAAAACGGAGATCAAAATCTAGTCTTTGATTCAAGCAGTAATTTCTTTGCAGTAGGACAATTTTCTACAAAATAATTTGCATAAATCAACCATGCAAATAATTCAATACAAACATTTTGTTATAAATTATATGTAACAAGCTAAAGTATAAAAATTTAATTATAGTAATATAATTGAAAATGTTATGCAACTTATTAAATTAGTTTTTTTTAATATTCATAATTTTATTTTATTTAGGGGAGAACGGGGCAACCTGGCGAAGGGGGCAAGATGACGAATTGCTTTTTCTAGCCGAACCGCTCCATAATGAATAGTTTAAATAAATAGTAATGAAAACTGTCTTTTAAATAAAAACTGTCTATTTTAAATAACATTTGGTTTTTGTAGTTATTGTCCCCGTGGATTTATTCACAAAAGTCTATTTTTACGATTTTTAAAATTTTTTTTTTTTTCAGTTTGGTCCTTATTATTTTAGGCTACGCTGCCTTTTGCATGCTGCGAAACTATTATTGGGTACAAAAAACATTTTTTAATATTATTATGGTAAATGTTTGTGCAGCTGTTGTAGAGTAATAGAGTTATTGATGGAATTAGAATAATTGTGTCAGCGGGGCAAGTTGATCGGGGCAAGATAACGACTCTGCCATCTTGCCCCGTCATATTTTGTTAAATTCAAATATCTAAACCGAGTAATACGACATCTTTTTTTTCATAAAAAGAAACTATATAAATTAAAACACAAACTGTATATATATATATATATATATATATATATATATATATATATATATATATATATATATATATATATA